GGGACAGGTGCTGGTGCCACCCCGGGCGTGTCCCCCGTTGTCCCCACGGCTCTGGCAGTGGGTGGCAGTGGCCGTGTCCCCCCGTGTCCCCCCGTGTCCCCCCGTGTCCCCGCAGCTCCGTGGACGGGCTGTTCCGGCCCCAGAAGCGCAACGCCCACGTGCCGCTGTGGAACTACACCCTGCTGCGTGCCCAGGTGGGTGCCACCGCCCGGCCCCCGGGACCCCCCGAGCCCCGGGACCCCCTGAGCCTGGCCCTGCCCCCAGGTGTTCATCGTGTACTTCATCGCGGGGCTGAAGAAGCTGGACGCCGACTGGGTCGGGGGCTTCTCCATGGGGACCCTGGCCCGGCACTGGCTCTTCGCACCCTTCAGGTCAGGGCAGGGGTGGGGAGGGGGCCACGGGGGGCTGGGGAGGGGCTGAGGGTGAGGATGAGGAGGGTGAAGGGCGCTGACGAGGGTGCAGCGGAATCGAGGGGTCCGAGGTGAGGATGGGGAGGGGGTGACGGGAGAGGGACACTGAGGAGGGTGAGGGGAGGATGGGGAGGGGATGAGGGTGAGGCAGGGATGGGATGGGAGATGGGGTTGGAGGATGAGCTTAAGGAGCTGTGATGATGATGATGATGATGATGATGATGATGATGATGATGATGATGATGGGGAAGGGAGGGGGCTGACGGGCTGGGGAAGGGAGAGGAGGGGTACACGAGGGTGGGTGCGGGGTGAGGATGAGGAGTGGCACGGACAGGGGGAGGAAGGTGAGGGAGGGCAGGCCGGGGCTGAGGAGGGGCAGGCCGGGGCTGAGGAAGGCTCCGTGGCCAGGCTGGTGCTGTCGGAGGAGCTGACCAGCCGGCTGGTGGTGCACGGCGGCGGCCTCGTGCTCGACCTCTCCGCCGGCTTCCTGCTCTTCTTCGACGCCACGCGCCCGCTCGCCCTCGTCTTCGTCACCTACTTCCACTGCATGAACTCGCAGCTCTTCAGCATCGGTGAGGGGGCACCCCCAGACCCCCGTGTGCCCAGGGCACCCCCAGAACGGCCCCAACCTGGACGTGGGACCCCTGGGTACCCCCAGACACCCCCAGCCAGGGCGAGCTCCCCTCCACAGCCCCCAAACCTCCCCCCAGTCCTGAACAGGGGAGCCCAGGCACCCCAAAACACCCCGGCCCTGTGCAGGGAGTCATCCAGTCCTGAACAGGGGTGCCCAGACACCCCAAAACACCCCGGCCCTGTGCAGGGACCCCCCCCAATCCTGAACAGGGGTGCCCAGGCACCCCAAAACACCCTGGCCCTATGCAGGGACACCCCCCAAACCTGAACAGGGGTGCCCAGGCACCCCAAAACACCCCGGCCCTATGCAGGGAGTCATCCAAACCTGAACAGGGGAGCCCAGACACCCCAAAACACCCCGGCCCTGTGCAGGGACCACCCCCAAACCTGAACAGGGGAGCCCAGGCACCCCAAAACACCCTGGCCCTGTGCAGGGATGCCCCCAATTCCTGAACAGGGGTGCCCAGGCACCCCAAAACACCCCGGCCCTGTGCAGGGACCCCCCCCAAACCTGAACAGGGGAGCCCAGACACCCCAAAACACCCCGGCCCTGTGCAGGGACCCCCCCCAAACCTGAACAGGGGAGCTCAGACACCCCAAAACACCCCGGCCCTGTGCAGGGAGCCCCAGGCCGGGCGCAGGGGGTCCCTAAGCGTGCTCCCCCAGGCATGTTCTCCTACACC